TAATTTTTTTTTCTCTCTCTAACTCATTATACATCCGTATTATGGTATTATGGTTATGGATGTATTATGGTTAAAAGCCACCACAAGTTCTGGATGTTAAATAATAACGAGGTGATAATAAGATTTTTTATTATGTTCTATTCATCTTCAATTATCTTATATAAGTAGGTAACAAAATTATTCACCACATACAGGATGTCAACATTCTCAAACAAATAATTTATTAAAAGTAATTACTTTATCAGGAACTTTTATTAATAAATCAGTCTTTTTTATGAGAATCAAGAATGTTGTAAAGTTATTTATTTTTAAAAGAACTATTACCGTGATATTTCGAATTGCATTTTATGTTCTTTCAGCAACATTTGCATTTTTATCAATGCAGTATCTTTTACAGTGACACATTATAAACCCTTGCTTAATTCCAGATGTTAACGTGGATGCTGAGCGAAGTTTTAATGAAGTTGAGGGTACGTGTTGAATGATAATAAAGTTACTCTCACAAATTGTAAATTCATTACAAGCATAGAGTAATTCAAGACCTTTCTTGTTTTCTAACTGATGGAAATCTGATGGATTAATGCTTGTAACAACAGCTAAAACATTTCTGGGAGCTGAACGTCCCCTATTAATCTCCAGAACGAAGTTAGATAGATGAAAGTCGATACCAGACACGGAAATCGTAAGAGAAAGACGACTAGGTTAACTATATATGAACTTCCGATTTCTACCGAAAATCACGTTATTTCAATTGAAAAATTTTCCTCCGAATGGAGTTAGATACATAACAGGCACAACTCTATTGCTAACAGGAAAAGTATGATGTACAGGGTCAAAACAGTACTACACTCCATGCAAGCAAGTGCTATGTGCTACCTGTCTCAGTAATGATATAGCGCGAAATAGACGCGCTATATCATTGTCGTAGTAATTCAATGAATATAATACATATATTTTAAAATTATATCCTTTTTGTAAGAATTATGTTAATTATTTTGTTAAATTGTTTCCAATNTTTATAAAATACAAGGGAAGCGGCGCTTCCACCGCTTCTAATGACATCACGCTACTGGAAAAGACTTTATTACATATTCTGGTCAAAAATAAATACACACACTATGTTCTTACTTCATCTTTATGCCTTAATTAAACTACAGTGTTTATTGAATAGTCATTAGTTTATGTACTATACATCAGAATGCACTATACATTACTTCATTATTCGATTTGACTATTTTTATTCCAGATTTTCATTCTATTTTCATTTTTATTTTACAACTGTTTTTAACTTTCCAATATTATAATAACCATAATAAAATATCCAATGAATAGCACTGATGCAAAACACATATTATCAAGGTGTTTAATTCATAAATAAAAATGATCTGTTAAGCATTTCCAGGATATTATTTCCCACCACCAGATTCCACTATTATACAGATTTGAATGGGTTTTTTTAAACAATTTTTTTTTTCTATAAAAAAACAAAGAAACACAATACAGTTTTAAGTGACCTTGCTTATATCTAAATTAACAGTTCTGTAAATAAAAATCAGAAAGAGGTCCGTGTAATGTAATGGATTCGTGGTAATCAGGAGTTGTGGGTTTGAGTCTCATTCTGGACAATTCTTTTCTTTCAGAATATTCTAAATTTCCAATTAATTTAATTGTAATTATTAAATTTACTGGGACCAGCTGAACCACTTAATATAAACACTACTACTTATTTGTTAGAAATTATTTTTTATTCTGTGTCATCTAGATGATTTTATTACGTTTATCTGAATACATTTTCTTTTTAGCGAAGTTTTACATTTAACAAATATTTTGCCAAATCCGAGACAAAAGAATTTGTTAAAAAGAATCTTGCCTTTAAAAAATGCAATTAAAATACAGTACAGTACTTGAAATATTACATCTATGACGTAAAACTCGTGACGTAACGCGTGACGCATTGCAACGACAAATTCGAATTCGTTCCATTTCGTATTGTTGTCGACGCCATCTTGGAATAGAATGTTTTCCGGAAATTGCGAGTTCTTTTTCCCTCCATTTTAACATTTTTCGTACAAATTTTAATAATGAAAACTCGCGTAACGTAGGTAACATAATATTTTTCGATTTATATAAAAATTAAATAGATTAAATTAGATACGCTTTAAACCTATATTTGCGGCCTGTAACCTGTAAGGTTACGGAATGCATTTTTATAATTTTATTTATTATTACAAATATCTTAGCGATATTTTACAAAAAAGAGGACTATTTTAGCATTTTAAAGATAACATTTGCAATTAGTTAATATTCTGACGTAGAACTTATGACGTAACGTGTGACTCATTTATCGCACGTTCCACCGATTCGAATTCGTTCGATTTCGTATTGCCGACGCCATCTTGAAATAGAAAGTTTTATGGAAATTGCGAGTTATTTTTCAATCCATTTCGAGATTTTTCGTAAATGTTTAATTACAAAAACCCGAATAACGCAGGCAATGTAACGTTTTTTTATTTATAAGCGATCAAAATTGAATAATTGTCGATAGAATATTAAGTAAAAGTCTTAAATTTTACTTAAAATATTTAAGGTTGTTTCCACTTAGCATCGAATTAAATTATCAGATTATAAATGATATTCGCTTGTATATCGTCTTATATTCTTTTGAATGAAACAATAAATGTTTTATATTAGAAAATGGTTTTATTATTAAATTAATTAGTTAATCAATCATCTCGATTTTTTCTATTCTTAATATTTAAATTCTTAAATTATTCTAGAAAGAAGTATCATTCTCAAATTTTATAATCCACTTTCCAAAGAAACATGGAATCATTTTAAAAACTTCTTTGCTCAAAAAATTAACAAAGGAAAGGTAAGACTTTTTTATTTTCATTCTAATTCTGTACATTGATGCAGTAGAAAATAGTATATAAAAGTTTAGAATCCTCATTGATGAATCTAAGAATTTATTGTAGTAGAATGATGCTTGAAATGTAATGTTATTTATTCACGCATTCAATATAATCCAAATTGCAATTTTAATTAAAAGTAATAAATTAGTCCTTCAAATTATATTTATTTCATATCAAGATAAATTATAAACATGTGAGAAAAACATTAACAGAGAGTTTAAATCATAATATAATCTTGTTTTAAAATTATCAATGAGTAATTAATATGAATTTATAATGTCTACCTATTGATAACAGGATTTATTTTAAAAAATTAATTCTTAGCTTATTTCAATTATCAAATAGTACATACACTTATTTGGGTAATTTTTTAGAATTGGGGCAATTTAACACCATTGCTCATTCATAAAGTACATAACTTAACAACACCCAATACTGAAATTTACAGATTTACACAAATCAAATCACACTACTACACTTAATTTATTTGCATTAATATCTAGAATGCCGTTTATATAACCAGAAGTTCTATCTAAGCTGTAATTAACACTCTTATTTTTGCTAAACTCAATGTTAAATTTTAGAAAATGCTACAATTTTAAATAAACCATTTCTTTTAAAAGAAGTTGTTTTATTTCTCTTAGTATATGGTTTAATTTTTATTAAGACATATGAAAATGAAGCTTAACTAGAATTTTAATGTTTGTTTACTTATTTTTATATTAAAAATAGCTGTTTTTCAACTCTTCTATGTAACTCTTGAATACATTGATGATTCTGACATTTTATTTTTTACATGTTTAATAGATTTAACTGATTGTGAGCACTTAAAGCCAGGAGTCGTGTGACATCATTTAGGCTTCTGACATACCAAAGAGCAGCTATGTGACATGTATAGGGCCTATATAAAAATTACTTTGTGGATAATCAACTCAATGGTAAGTGGCTGGAAGTGATTACATTTATTTGAAATCATTACTATATTTATTCATATTTCAGAATCAATTTTAAATAATGTTCTTTTTTAATTGTTCAGGTTATCTGCTCCACACACCTTCCTTTAGAAAATGTTGATATTGAACTTTGTCACTGCAATCTTTTAACAAACATTTCCATTATGACAAAGAGCATGCAACATTTTCTTCTATAAATGGTCAGTGAACTACTTTACTTTACTTTTATATTCCCGGGACCATTTTAATTTTAAATTTTGTAAAAATTGGCATTCAGAGTTTGATTTGTCTTGATGTTCATTTTGGAGTAATTAGCCCTATGTTAATTAAGCACAATAAAATTAGGTTCAAATTTTCTTTATCATATTTAATGTAATAGAGATAACTGTAAAAACAGATTATAAAGTATGAATTATTGTAAAATTTATATTTTAAATAAATAAAGATTCATTCTGTTTAAATTTTTATTCTATATTTTACTATATATGTAAGGAATTAATGCTTGTAATTAATAATATTTGTAATTTAATGTGATTGTGATTGCTATGACAACAAATTATTTAAATTTATTTTTTGGATTTGTTGTACTTCTTTTAAAATCAAACAATATAGTTTAAAGAACATGAAAAGGGTGTATTTGAATGTGCTTATTTTTTACTGTTAAACATATAGATAACCTGTCATTATAGCAATCAATTTGAAGTCCAATTTGGCCACCTGTAAGACTTAGCTTAAGAACTGTCGATATAAACTTCAGAATATCAAAGGTTTTTCACTATGCCGAGCATTCCCAATATATCAAAATACTGGGATGGGTTAGATGAAAATGATTATAAAGTTCCATAAATGACTAGACAAAAGGGGCATGTCTAGAAGATGCCTTACATCAAGACTGGTGTGGTGGGTGGACTGGATTATTTGTTACTTATGTTAGAATATTCTGGAAGTACCCAGTGAAACCCTATAAAAGAGTGGATGACACCAGTGACAGGATCTTTCAGACCATAGGCCAGGAATGCTACCACCAAATAAGATTTGTACGGAGATGATACTAGGAAGTTACAAGAAGGAGAATGTAAATATGAGTTTTATATTCAACAAATCCTTACACCACTTTAGTATCAAATGGATAATATACCTTACTACGCTGTAGTTATGATCCATCAGTCACTGAAAGTAATCCAGTCAGACCTCATAATGAAATATGCCAAAAGGGAAAAATGCAACCAAATTTCATCGTTCAAAAAGCTTCTTTCTACAAGAAGTTGATTCTGAGTAAAATTAGATGTTGCAAGTGAGTTTGGCATCACCCTTTGCATTCTATCAATGATTTTAAATGAGCATCCAACATTGAAAAAAGTTAAAAAAGATCCAATGTTGAGTCCAGCAGGAATAAAATGCATAGCACACAATTTGAGGATGTGTGGAAAGTTATTTTCATCTGTTTTCAAGATGTTCAAGCGTGCCACTTGCATAGGCAGTTCTTTGTTATTACAAGGAATTTGTGAAAAGTATGGAATTATCTCAAAATCTTTATGCAGAGAAACATTGATGTTTCATTGCACATAGCATGTGCATGGACTACAGACAATATACAATATTTAAGTACAGTACAAATGACATCTTCAATCCTGATGATAAAGGCAGTTTCTTCTTACTGCTGCAGAGGAAGCAAAAGTTTTAAATAGCAATTAACTGCCCTGTTTTATTGCAGTACCTCAGGTAAGAAATGATCTCACATTACACTACACTGCATTCTTTCATCCCTTTTATCCAAAGAAGGATCATGTACTGATATCCACTGTACATGACATAGATATGGAGAATATGATAGGAGACCCTTAATCATTGCAAAAACATTAAGAATATATTGTATTATATGAACAATGTGTGCTCTACACACTGCAAACTGCCAAGATTGGATGATGCAAAGCATTTTTAATAAATAGTTGAACTGGAAACTAGATTTAAAGATGAAACAAAAGTAAAGAGTCAGCTGTCAGATGAAAACTGCTTGGTTTAAGTCCTATCTGGAAAATGTGCACATTGAGTGCTTTCTACACTGCTGTTCTGCAGCTGATCTTGGAATAATCCATACTGTACAGGCTGAATCTTGACGATTATTTTTTTCAACATTGATAACTATGTCTACAGAAAGATAAAGCAAGCTTTTGACAAGACTGCTGCATGTCAATCTATCAACAATCCAGAAATAATGGCAAAAAGTGGCATGATTTCACATAATCTGTTGCACACTGACTTGGACAAGGAAGGAAATGAAGCAAAATAAGGGATTGAGATGGTCAGATAAGAATTCGCTGTCAAGAGGAATACCAACTGAACTTTGTATGTCATCAATTATGCTATATAGATTAAATCAAGAAATATAATTTCAGTTTGTTTGTAGTAGAGACATTACATTATCTATCACACATCTTTAATTTGTAAGGCAAAGAAGACATAAACAGGAGTGGAAATACAGAGAGATTTGAATAATGTTGAGAAACAGCAGGCAAGTCATCTGTTGTGTCCATTGTTTTGATAAGTTGGTTAAAACTATGGAAATATGAAAGGAATCTATCATACCATCAATATAGGAGAAGTGCAACAAGTACAAATGAGTCTTTGTGGAAGATCCTATACAGTAAGACAAAATGCAAAATTTGGTGAGCGAAATGCTGAAACAACACTATTGATCCATCAACAAGTGCTTGTAATAGTCAGGCCTTTCTTGTAAAAAAGGACAGTTTCGATAAGATAATCAGATTACCAGAAAATGATTCTGAATTTGATTTGAACAGATTTTAATATATATATTCAAAAGAAGCTAAAAAGATAAATGTACAATTGGAAATAACAACAAAGTCAAGATAACTTATTAAATCCGGGAAATTTATAATAAAACTAACTACATTTCAGTTTGGAGTTAATGAAAATAACCTTGGCCCTTTCTCTCTTGCTATAGTCTTCTAATATAGAACAATTTTTACTAGTTTTCATTCTCCCTATCATAGGAATATTTCTTTCCCATTGGGCAACCCCTGAAAGTGTAGTTAAATAATAGTGTATAAAACATCTTTATTTGTAATAATATATTAATTAAAAACTTTCTATAAGTTTCTGAGAAAAGTCCAGCATTCCTTATTACCAGATACATTGACTCTGATCCAGTATTAAAAATATTCTGTCTAATTAGATATTTGTCTATCATATATACAGTAACTTCTTATCAGTGTTAAGAATCATAGTTTCAGATATGGTCCAGTGGATTTAGTTTGATGTTACGACATGTGTTAAGAGAAATTATTAGAATACGATAAAAAAATGTGCAGGCTAAAATGAACTTCAAGTTGATCATTTTAATCCAAAATAATAATAATATACAAATACCTAATTGTCAGATTAGCAAATAATTGACATTGACCAAGTAATAATTGCCAAGTGTTATGAAATTCTTGTGTGGAAAATGTTTTATGTTTTCCTTCTGTAGCCATACTTTCATTTAAAAGGGACCCCCTTAAATTTAAATACAGTGCACTATCATTAACATTAACTATTGGTTAATATCAGATTTTTTAAATGTCTCAGCATAAAACTATATTTGACTGCAGGGAGAGATAAGGAAACTTTTTTAACTAGAAGGATTCACCCTACTTCAGAAAGACCTAATGAGCCTGTACAATGTATTACAGATTTCATAATTATATATATTTAGTATACATGCACCAATAATATAAACTATACTTAATTACATATTTCATAGGAGTAGAGAATGGAAAATATATTTTCATAATGTAGGTTTAATCTTGCTGTCTTGAATTTACACTATAGTTTGTCTAGTAGCATTAGAAACCACAAAATTTACAGGTTTTCCACCCTTGGTGTAGGAAAACCAACTTAATGACTACCATTAACCTTTATCCAGTTCAAAGTTTGTGTGTTATATTAAATAATATTAGTTAATGGTGATGTCCCTTCCACTTAACTGACAGAATTATTATTATTATTTTCAGAAAGTTTGAACAAAATATAAGTTTAGCTGATTTTTGTATTTAAAATTTCAGGATGTTTTGAGGTTTATATGAAAAGTACTATAATCTTACATTTTACAGTTATATTAAGGAATTTTGTTTTTAAAATGCCAAAACCTAAACTAATAAGTATTCTTTTGGCTATCAAATAAAAGAGAATTATAAATTCCAATGCTTTTTTATATTCTCAATTGACCAAAAAGCACAACATTGAGATTTAAAAATTGTTTTTACTGAATCAGCAAAATTATTTATTAACATAACATTATTTCCAGGATTATGGTGGATAAAATTCACAAAAATTATCAGAAAATAGAAACTGCAGTCTTATAATGAAGTATATAGTGAAATTTAACAATTGGTATGCAGTATAACTTTCTTTGAGGACAAAAATTACACGCTATGGGTTTAAGTCGACTACTGAATGTTAGTCAACACTTACAGACAGTCCCACAAGTAGCGATGCTAACGTAAGTCTATCATAATATATTATAATATAAAAAAAATCTTAATATGTAAATAATATTACTTTTGATAACTTGAAAGAATCATAAAACAGTAAAAAATTGAAATAAGTTAACAACAGTGGCATATTATAGCTTCATGAGGACCAGGTGAATTTGAATTAGTGGGCCCTACGCACAGTAAATGTTGACTTCAGACATTTTTTTTGGGAGAATTTTTTTTAGAAAAATATTTTTTTTATAAAAGATTGATTTGGGGTTCCATGTTGGTGGAGGCCCCAAGCAATTGCCCCTTTTGCCCATAGGATAACATGCCACTGATTAACAAAAATATTTTTGTATATTTTTATTGTTTATTTTGTGTATAACATTGCTATTGCAAAATTTAATTATGTATTGCATAAACTTATACAATGAACAAAAGACTTATTTCCATGCACAGAGACTTAAATGATGCATTTATACATTAAATATTAAACAAGACAACTTATATATTCAAAATTAATTTAAATATATCATCAATAATAGGCATTTTGTAAAAAATACACAACCAAATCTTAGATCCCTCATTATCTCCCAAAAACCCAACAATGCATCACTACTTAGTCGACTACCAGGAGCATGGCACAATAATTTTTTTCTGTGTTTCTCTCTCTACAAAAACCTGGTTTGGTTTTTTAGCCTTTTTAATTTAATTCTACTTCATTTTTAGTAAATGTTTTATAGTTGACAAATCATTAGTCCCCCCCATAAGTCAGAAAGGAAGGGAAATTTGAATTTTTGTGTACTTGCTTATAGTACAATTAAGTAAGATTAATAAATTCTGACTCCATTGTATTAAATAATTTATTTTTATAATAGCCCTTGTAATGTTTATAGGACACATTTCTTTTGGGTTGTTTTTACTTAAATAGGAACAATTATGACATGGGATGATGATAATGTTTGGTAAAGGTAA